GCGTTCGATCGGTTCCCTCTCTCAAATCAAAAATTCTCAATCACAGAAGCCCAACATGCTCACAAAGTGGATGTGATTTTTTCACCAGTTTAGTGGGTCGCAGGCGTGGGCGGATTCAGGGGCGGGGGCGAAGGGTCTTCTTTCCCCAGCACCACAGGCACCAGTGCTGCAAGGGCCCGAGTCTGCTCATAAATAAAACTAAAGTAACTCTAAGTAGCGACTCTATTCCTAGTTTTTGCACAGCTAGAAGAGGTCACCCCACCCCCCTCCTTCCCCTCCCCCTTGTCCGTTCTGGATATGTCTGTGGCTGCGGGTCCAGTTTTTATAGGATTTTGCAGGAGATGGGCCGCTTCTTGCACGTACATGCGTCTATATCCTTGGCGTGCATCAACCGAGCACACTGGCACCCTTCGACCCTGAGCTACATACGTCCAGTTAGTATCCATCCATCCGCCGCCTGTTTCCGTGTGCGCCATCTTTTAGAAGTCCACTCGAGTGGAGTTTGAAATTTTCATTCAATTGGTCATAAAAACAAAATTTTATTCAGAAGTGAAAATCCACATTTGCACTATGGGAGCGACTTACTGCGAAAAAAAAAAAAAAAACAGCCACGAGCACCCTGGAAATAATGAAAATAATTAATGTGCGTGATTCTAGTCTCCTACGCAAACTTATGCTGGCCAAATCAATATGCAAATTTCAATTGCAGAACTGTGGTTGAAGCTATTTTTTTTATTGAAAATGCGATTATTCTCGGCTCAGAAAAAGTGCTAACGTTTGGAGTATCGATAAGTTGAAATTCCGCCAAGTTACGGTTCCACATCGTTCGGAGTTATGAATGAACGGCGCGATATCGCTAATTCGAAATAATTTGCAGCTAAATGATCGGTGGAAATAGCGACAACGCATTGTTTTAGCATGATAACAGTTGATTTGGAGGACAATGAAGTCGTGTATACGGTAAGTTTGCTTGATTATTTCTACGAAAAACATGCTAAAAGAATCAAAATATAGGGGCAACATGTATGGAATAAGGGCGTCGAGTTTGACTCTAGGAAATGTGGGTGCTGTTGAAATACGTTGCGAACGATGAGCAACACTGGGTGATGCTTCAGGAGTTCGAAACAAGCCGATAAGAAGGGAGGACGTGGGAAGACTGTAAGGAGTTGGAGTGTAACAGACTAAGCAAATTCACTACAGTGGATCGTGCACAGGCCGATCCAGGCGAGGGGGAGGGAGAGGGGAAGGGGTCGATGGACCTTTCGCCCCCTTCCCCTCCCCAGCGGCAGAGGTACCAGTGCTAGAAAAGCCTG